CATAATTTCTAAAATCTTGCACATGACCCTGTTTTTTTAATATTTAGTCTCTATGATATGCAAGAAAACTGCAACCTGCTACTAAAGAGTAATAGACAAATTCACTTCTTTTTTTAAATTCCAATATAATGCACAGGTCTCATATTAGTATTTATGTGTCCTCCTCCTCTAGCCTCTTGTAGTTTTGTATCTCAGAGCCCAGGAAGCCCACGGGCAGTTCATTGATTTTCATTTCAAGCGATGATTCTTAACAAACGTATTAAGTTGGCAAATGTTCATGCTGGGTTGAAGCAGCTGTCAAAAGATAATTGGAATTTCGGATTCAAAGGCTGTTTTAACTCCCAGAAGCCTCATTAGGACCGTAACCCTGAGCATTTGCTCTGCAGTACCTTGTGTAATTCATTTGCCTTCATTCTCAAGAGAGACCCAGGTCCAACATAAATCAACCCTTTGTGTTTTTCCTTTGAAAGTTCCTCTGTGTAATCATGAGTGCAACCGAGGATCAGAGGACCAACAGGACTCCATTCGTGTTGGAGATTGTGGGTGAATGTGAGGAGATTGGATGCTGAGATGTAAGTCAGGTAAAGCCATCGAGGTGAAATATCAACATGGATTCAAGTTAGGGAGAGATTATTGTATCCCAATGATCTTTCCATATAGAGAGGAATGGGTCGATGCTGAAAGACGTGACAATTAAATGGTCAACGTATACTCAAGTTGAATTCTCATTAAGTGGAGCTCATTTTTCATTGGGCATCAACATCAGCTTTTATAATGTTACAGTCAAAATTGCAGGTATAGTGTATCAAGTAATTTGTTCTTTTCCTTTTCAATTCAATTCAATGGTTATTGTTTTAGAAAAGTGAACATTTTTAAGTGTTGCTGCATGCTAACATAAGTCAAGATGGATGAAAAGAAACTGTAAATTAAAAGAAGTCAAAGCATCCATTTCTGCACACGTATCTCTATCGCAAACACCCAGTTCATTGTCTATATTGTGTTTGGAGAAGTCAAATAAAAGCACAGTGCCTGGACTCAACTGGAGGTAATCATGACTTTTTATTTGCCAGGGAAAATATGCACAGTTTTAGTCTGAACAATTTTCTTTTTGTATACCAGAATTTAGGTTCATGGTCCATAATCATTATAAATGTGCTCAAAATTCATTTGTCTTTATTGCAAATGTAGTCTCTCTGTCCTCCAGAACAGGTGAAATGTACCTACAAATATAGTCGTCCTATAGTCTAACAACCTTTGCCAAAATTCCTCATCAAACCACATATCCCTCCTTTACCAACTCTCATAAAGGACCATGCTGATGTTTTACAGAATAATATGCTACCACTGTGAGTTAGTTTATGATGGATGACACAAATATTTGTTTAAGAATAATGAAGAAATAAATAAGAACAAATCATATAATTTGAAATGCTAAAGTTAAAACAGTTACCCAACCTGTGCTGTGGAACCTTTCAGGGTGATTGAGCATTGAGGTTATCAAGTGGGCACCATGCTTTGTCCTTTCTTCTGGAGAAAGACTCAACAGCTTTCTCCAAACACAACCATATGTTCTCAGTCTCAACAGATGCAACACATAACCAAAAGGACCTCATGTGCAGATTTCCCCGGCCAATGCTAAACAAGCTTATATAAACAATATTACATGCACTCTGTGTATTTCCATATTGCACAATGGATGTGTATATCCTGTATAGTCTAAATGACTTGAGCCTTGAGCCTGTTAACAAGAATGAACTCTTCAGGATAACTCATGTGGATAATTAATCAATGAAAGTGGATAGACGTATTGAAAGTCCTGTTGTCTCTGTGCCATTTGTGTCAGCTGTTAGCTGTCTACAAGGGTGTAAGATGTAAAGCAACAGTAGAGTTTAGCCTGCAGCTCTTTCAGCTGTTTGTTTAGTTCAGAATGCATATTTGTGTAAATGTTGCACAAATGCCTTAAATGTTCCGGTTATATCAACTGTGTCTCTGTGGAAAAAAGTTGAAATAAATTAAAAAGAATAATTTCCTGTTATTTGTCTCAACGTGAAAGAATTCCTAGATTGTTAGAGGATGATTCATGGAGCAACACTTTCACCGTAAAGAGATTATTTACTCCATCACACCCAAAGCAAATGTTCAGAGCCAACATGAACAAAGGAAGGAACTCATATTCAATGCTTGAAGTGTGTTCCTTGAACTGAGACTCAAGACTAATCACGGAAAACTTGTAAAGCTTTTGTGGGAATAAATGAATGGCATGCATTACTGATGCAAAGCTCAGTAAAGGTAAGTAATAAATAAACTCCGACCATGAATGTGTTCACCGGCTGCCAGGTTTTCGTGTGACATTGTTTCTTCCTGCTTCTTCATGCTTACAATGCAGTGAGTCAGATCTGTTTTTCAGAAATGTAAATATTTGCTGAGTTAAAGAGGCTTATATGAGCTTTCACTGCCTCGAATAGTCTAATTGAATTATATCAAAAGTATACACACTCCAGTTCCATATAATGACAGAGCACTTTACGCACTGTTTTGCATTCTTATTTCAAGATTTCTGGAGATTCAAATGAAAACTTTACTGTCACAAATTGCCATCTATAGCAAAGCCTTTAAGTGTGGCAGCGCTGGTGGTTAAATGAGTCTTTGCTGTGTCAAATCCACTTAAATCGGATGCATTAAGGGAACGCGATGAGAGTAAGAAAGTGCATTTTGTTGGTGAGGCCTGAGATCAAGCTCTGTGAAGCAGATTCTCTGGAATACATTATTCAGAGGCTCTCACCACTTAAACTTTTCAAGGATGGGATTCATTTGACCTCAAGTTAAGGTAGCAAACACAAACACACAGCCCATTCCTTTCTTTTTTATTTTGCTGATTATGTTTCATCCACGCCATGGCGAGCAATGGTCGGTCCGTCGCTCGGTCCGCAAGTCCTGACTGAAATATCTAGACAACTACTGGATGGTTTGCTATGAAATGTGGTGATGATGTCCATGCTATGAAAACGAATGGCATTCACATCAGCTAGTCTTTGCGTTTATGGTTTAGGGCCTATTAGAAAATGTTAGCATGCAAATCTAAGGTGGTGAACATGGTTAACATTATTTCTTATTTTAAATTGATGTATTTATTTATAGTCCTTCTGCCCTTACTTACTCTCTTAATTTCTTAGAAACTGTCTAACCCTCTACAACTTCATTAACATTGGTAAATCATTCAAACTAGCATGGAAATTAACATTTAGGTGACTGAAATTAGCATTATAGACAACAAAATTAGAATTGCAGTCATTTGAATTTGCTCTATCAATAAAGTAACTAAAATTATGCTTTTCTAATTATCAACAAGTACCATTAAATAGGGAAAACCAGCAACGTGTCTTTTGTCAAAGTGAGCATTTTAGCATGGTGACGTTAGCATTTAACTCAAAAACACTAATTGTGCCTAATTAGACCTTTGCAGAGCCAATCCCTGTGACTGTGGTTGGTCCTTTATTAAGTGTAATTATTGCTTCATTCATTGTCTTCCCGTTTCCTTTTGTCTCACCTGAACCGAGGGCGTCCCCGATCAGGATGCAACCTTTACAGTCCTGCTGCAGTAAAAGGACACATTACTCTGCAGGTGGCCTTTCTCTAGTATATCACGAAAACAAACCAAATAATCCAACACTTTTATCTGACAATGTTCAGTCTGAACACGAAATCTCCCACAAAATATTCACGTGCTCGTCTTTCACAGGAGTAAAAGATGCATCCCAGACATTTCACTGCACCGATGTGTTACAGGCAGCATATGTAGTCATAAAAAATGGTTTCTAAATAAAGACCGGGGAAGCTGTCCCAGTTTAGACTCTGTTGGTGGAAGCAGCCTCCACTTCTCTGCAGGCACAGCTTTGTACACAAGCCTGGAATTTTGATTAGTTGTATTTTTGTCCATTTTATAGTCTGCAGAAATAGATTAAACAGTTTTAATAGATGGACCATCATTACACAATTATCACACAGCCTATAACAGCTAAACTACTTAGTCAAATATCCCAAGGTTTAAGAAGCATGCTGGTATCAGTGTGTCATGAAGTATTCAGTGGTATTAGGGGTGGATAAAATAACATAATTCAGCCTTTATAAAGGAGGTCAGTAAATGTTTCATGACATAACAGATGGTATGACTTTATGACTATCAGAAATCGTGTGCCGTGTCAGTTTGGGAATATCAGTGTTTCTGAGCCGTGGCCTTGGTTCTAAAATATTACAAACAAACCGCTGTTAACCACAGATTAACATCACATCCATTATGTGCTAACTGAATGCTACGGCCAAGCACGTGTACTGTACCTTGACCACAAGCGTCTACAAGCCCCAGTTTGTGCCTCTCACGTAAAATGATGAAGTCACATTTATTTTTTTTAATTGGGTAGACGGCACAGTGTGATTCCATGTGAATAAAGCATTAGAGGTATAAGAACACATTCGGGTCACAGAGCAGAGGTAACAATCGAACCCAGGAGTTCTTTGACAACACAATCCTCAAAGATTCTTCTGGTTTAAAGAAATATTCCAGCCGCTGCGTGATAAAACTCGTTGGTGGGCTGCAGTCTGTTTTGATCCAGAAACAGAAGTCTTAAAAGAGTTTCTAGAAATGTCTTCTGAATAATGCAAAGTGTGTCTAAACGATCCAGTTTCTCAAGCATGTTACCCTGGTAGCAGCTAATACAGCCACGAGTTGATAGCCTCGAGTAATCCAGATGTTTATGTTCAACCTTGTACTACAGTAGTACTTCTATTCCTCTACAGTTCAAAGAGAATTATTGTACTTTTTTACTCCACTACATGTATTTGACACCTGGAGTTATTCGTGACTTTACAGAAGAAAAGTCCCATAAACACGATCCTGTTGTAAATGGTTGTATGGTTATAAATTAAACTACCCAAATGGATATAAAAATATCCAATATCCAAGTAATAATTATAATAATAATAATACATACTTTAGTTGTTTTTTTACACTGTAGTACTACTATACTGTATATCTGGCTGTAAAAAGACATTTCAAACACAGTATCCTGGAATATAGAGATCTGACTGTAGATTTCATTGTTTTTTTATTTCGTTTTTTACAGTTGTGGTATTTGACTACAGCTGTACACTGCCCCTCAGAGGCTGGAAACAATACATGAAAAATCATAGGAAATGGCAACAAGCACAAAACCTTATTTACAAATCATTTTTAACAGAATTACATCATTACAAGCAAAGCTAAGGATCAAATACGTTCATTAAAAACTACCAAAGTTCTTCTATTTACACGTGAAATTTCAATACAGAAAGTAAGTCAATTTAAATAATGGCGCACACGTCCCCAGTCCTTTTTTCTATTTTACATATTCAGGGTGTTTGGTCATTTCTCAGAAACAGCTTCAATCTGAGCTTTCTGCTAATATCCTGGTGAAGTACAGAACAGCAGGCTGTGCCATGACGTTTTGGATGTTGTAAGCGTGTCCTGTGTGGGCAGAACAGTTACATCAGTAAAACAGAGAAGAAGCAAGTCACCATAATATAATTAAACATATTAATCCCATCCTAATATTGATACAATATTCTTACCACATGGCACCATGAAGGACTGTCCGGGATTAAAGCAGGATTCCTTGCCATCGATGCTTACGCTCACAGAGCTCGTTAATAAGTTAAAAACCTTTAAATACACAATGAAAGATTATTACAGTGATAAAACACTTATGGGAGCAGAACATAAATCCTATGAGAAATGTACTGACTGTTGTGGCGCTGTGATCCACCCACAGAGGCTTCTTCATGTAGGAGCCCAGCAGGATCTTTCCGTTACAGAAGGAGGCACAGTTCAGATCCACCAGGACGCCGAACGCTCTGCCTTGATAGAAGTACCAATCAAACTGGTCTGGAGTGACCTCAGCCCCTTCTGCAATGATAGTAAACAGTAAAGAAACATATTCAATGACAGGTCTGGACAATAATTACTTATGTTGTACATCTTTAAGTTATCGACAACAGCAGCTTTTTATAAAGACATTGTATTTTCTTACTGTCGACAGGAACAGACCAGAGACTCTTAAACCACTCTGTCAGGTTGGCTTTATCCTTCGGCTGTAAGACCAGCGGTTTGAGAGGAGGAGCACACAGATCTGATGCAGAGAGAGCAGCGGGGAAGCTGGGTGGTACCAGAACTGGAACAAAGTAAAGAGAAAAGTAGAAGTTAATCAATAAAAAAAAGGGATGGCAAACAATGAAACCACCAGATGGAGCTGTTTAACTGCAGACATGAGCTACATATCTCCTACCACAGAGGGTGAGAGGGCTCTGTGTAAATAGTGCAGTCTGGCTGCCCACATTTTCAGAACAACTTTTAAATGTGACATTTTCATTTTATTTATTCAAGACTGAGCATCTCTCTCTGTGTCGACAATGAACATTATATTCAGGGTTCTGCTGTTCCCACTGCTGAGTTACAACCCTGTTTTTGAGTTGGGTTAGGTGACGTTAGGTAATGTTACAAACATACTCAAGTTCTCATCCTCCTCGTACTCTTTCAGCTCAATTATAGAGGACGGCCCACTTCTGAGGATCTTTAACCTGCCAAAGAAAATACATAAATAAAACATTATGAGACAACAGTGACAGACAATAACAAGGAGTTGTTTAGAGGATCTGAATAAACTTTTTCTTACCTGTTCTCTGACTGACAGGTGCTGTCCTGCGGCATCTCATTGTTGGGTGGGCTGTTCTGTGGGCTCCCGGGTTCCACCCTGAGAATATCTCCATCAGTGTTTCCACTGAATATCGTACAGACGGTAGCGGTGACTTCCTCAGCAGGACGAGCAGCGACTTTACGTCTGTGTTTCTGGCCTCTTTCTCTCCTGTTGACCGGGGTCTCTGAGACTGAAGTGAATATGTCCTTAAATGTGGCCAGAGAGTGTTTCACGGTCTTTGGAGCCGACGTTGGCTTCACTTCCAGAAGAGACACGGGAGCTCTCCTTCGTGGTTTTGATGAGACCGCCATGTTGCCGTTTGTGGGAGTCCCAAGTCGAGGAATTCTGCTCCGCTTAGACACTTCTTTTCTTTCCGTACGAGGTCTGGGCCCCGGCTGCTGCGAGGAGATGCTCTCCACGTCCTCACACAAGTCATCAACCTTCCACCAGTTGCCGGGCGCTTTCCTCCTCCTCCGTTTCTCTGATTCTGCCGCCCTGAGCTGCCCGCTCCACCCTCTGGGAGAGCCGGGCACTGGTGTGATGGACAGTGTTTCATTGGAGACACGGTGGTATACTCTTTCAAATACTCGATCCCCTGAAAAACATCACATCTTAGTAAGTTACAGCGTTTACTGGTTCGTCTTTTTATTAACAAAACTGAAAACAGATTTAAAGTACATTGATGATAATACTTTTACTTAAGTAGCATTAAACAGCAGTTTTACTAGTAGTGGAGTATTTTATTGGAGGATCTGAGTACTTCCTTCCCCGTTGACCTTACCTGAGTTAAGGCTGTGGTCTTTGCGTGAGAGGACCAGACGGCTAGACTGTCCATCCAGGTCCTGGTCCTGGTCCTCCTGCTGTTGCTGCTGCTGTTCTTCATACTGCTCGGCCTCAATCGCTTGAAATACTTCATCAGGTCGACTGTCTTTTGTTGTATTTTTGTTCCGTTTAGTTTTCTTTCCTTTAGCTTTATTTGTGTTCTGAGTGGACGGCGGTGCCGGCTGCATCTGCTTTCTTTTCTTTAACACTCGGTCCTTCTTGGTCTCTACAGGTGACGGTGCTGCTGCGCTGGGCTCTTGGTTGTGCTGCTTGGACTTCTTGAGAGTGGGCTGGTCGTCCGTGACCTTGGTTTCCTCTATAATCTGTTGGCCAGACCACCACTGTCCAGGCGGCCTCTTTTTCCTTTTCCCAAGAATCTGATGGTCTTCAGATGAACTCCCGTCAGACACAGCTGGTGTTTTGTTGCGTTTGTCCGTTTCTGCTTCAGAATTCAGGATTTCTTTGTCTGTGGGGGGAAACATATATATATAAAATACTGTGCAGATGTTCAATGACATACTTGAAATGATTTTTACATTTCTCATTGCATCTCCAATAATTTCAATTTGAATTAATTTGTAAATATTTCTCTACTGTTTATTATTGTATTATATTATATTCTATATGTAAAATGTTTTTTATTGTTGTTGTGTAACTCAAACTAGCACCTTTTAGATAAAAAGAAAAATCCCCCAAAAAAGTAAAGCCAACCCATGAAAAACTGCTGGTAATTAATCAAAGAGAATTTTGGTGATAATTTAGATTTTGGATTTGTGTCACAGCTGTTAAGAGTTAAAATTTAAAAACCAAATATTCAGAATATACAAATTCAGTTACTCACCAAAATATAAGTAAATATTGATCTCTGTCAACATTTGGGGGCTATAAGAGCAACATAAACCTCTAGGAACATTTACATTAACCGATGATACCGAGCAGAAAGATTAAATGTCAACATAAAGAAAGATTTCAACAGTCGGGGCTTCTTACCTGGAAGAGAACCGAGGTCTTCAGCGTCTGCATGCTCCTCGCTGCTCCGGCTTCGTTCCCTCTCCGCCTCGTCGCTCATCGCCTGCTTTGCGGCATCAGATCCTTGCATCCCTTTTCTGCCCCCCTTCAACGACTTCGCCCTGCTCGTCTTTGCCTTTTCATTCCCATCTTTTAAAGACTTCGGCCTCTTCGTGTCAGAAGACTTCGGAGCTTTCTTTTCTGTGGCGTGAGCGGGTTTTTCTTCATGCGTTTCCCCGCTGGCTCCGTCTTTCGGTGGCTCTTCTTCCTTGTCACTGTCTAAAGATGTTACCTTCCTTCGTCGTCGTTGGTTTTTTTTGTTTGGTTTCTCTTCTACCATTAAGTCGCCTGCAGGAAGATCCTCAGGACTGGACAATTCCTCCTCATCACTTCCAGGCTCAGCCACCTTATTCTTCTTCTCTCCCCCTTTCGTCTTCCTTGTTTTCTGATTGACAGTCTGACTTCCCAGTTTGTCCTTTGCCTGTTCAGATTCCTGCTGTTTTTGTGCAGTCTCCTTGTCTGTTGAGCTGTCTTTGTCAGTGCTGGAGGTTCTGCCCTGTCTTGGTTTTTTACTGGTGGCAGTTTTACTTGGGATAGAAAACCAAAGAGGTCTGTCATCCTCCAGAATGAGGAAATCCTCCTCTGGCTCAGGAGGTTCAGGAGGAGCGGCTACTTTCTCCGGTGTCAGAGACTTCCTGGAACTAATGGAAGTATAATTAAGAATCAGTTTTTACGTTGACGCACAAGAGACATTACTTTGTAAATATATTTTGGTGGTTTTCATTTTTTCAATAGGAAAGCACCGTAGCGACTCCTATCTCTACTCACCATGCGGGTTTGGGCTGTCCGGCACCTCTAAGCTTCTGGAGAAAGGAAGTGATGTCCTTTGCCACACCGGTCGACTCCCCCGATGGCTGGCTGTGGACATTTTCTGATTTCTTCTTAGGAGCTGTGAGTTCAGGCTCCTGTCTCACTGCTGACTCTGCGTTTTCTTGCCTGGAAAAAAAAAAAAGAAAAATGACTGAATTGAGTTTTTCTGTTAAATAAAATTTGCTGTGCTGCTGCAGTAAAAAATTGTCACAGTTTTTGCTGTTATACATTTTTATTATCTACTTGGGCTGCACCTGCATATATGTATATCTGACACTTTTTTATGACTTGATTAATCACTTTTTGTTGTCATTTCAATTTATAGCTATTAATATTAATGTTATTTCTAGTTTAGTTATGTTATACTATACATCATATGTAGTGTATTGTACAAATTGTAAATATTGTGCCACAGTTAATATCTTTGTAGCAACTCTTTGAAACTTGAATAACAATCAGCACATTGTACACAAATGATACCAATTAATAAATGCTGATATCCATATTGGCTTCAAACATCCACTATTGTTCGGTCATTAGATCCGAGTGAAAGCCCAAACATGACTATAACTACACACATAACCATATCTCTTCTTACCATGGTGTTTGTATTTTGACCTCCAACTCAGGTGTTTGGGGTTTCTTGGGTGTTTTTTCTTTGCTGTAGGAAAAAAAATTATATTCACATCACATGCACATAAGTGCAAAATCCCGAAAGCCAAACATCCAAATAATGCACGCAGATACCAGACAATTAAAGACCCATCATCATCACAACACAAAATGGACCCTTTATAATGCAATGGTCACGTGTGAATTGTATACTGCAATCCATCAAGTACTGATGGAGCGTTTGAGTGCTTGCAGCAAACTGATCATCATGAGACTTAAAAAAGGCCCTTACCAGGATGCCTCCACCTTCTTTTGGTGACTGGACATCTTGGGTTTGCTGAAAACGACCTTGCTTGGAGGAGACTCCCACTCAGAGTCATTTCTAGAGGAAAAGACAATTGATGAAAGAAATGTTCTGTAAATTAACGAGTGAAAACACACTGGATCTGGGTGTTCGTAAATATTAATGTTGACACTAGAATCCTACACTCCGTACAAACAACTTATTTTCTACATGAAATGCATGGATAATCGCTTACTCCTCTGTGCCGTGCCCATTGTGCTGTGGATCCTGGATGAGCAGAGGCTCCGTCTTTGCCTCTTCTTTTCCTTCATCTTCACAGGCGAAGAGAATTGGGGAAACAACTTGGTCTTTCTTATTGTCCAGCTCTTCAACAACCACATTCACTTCAATAGGGCTGGACATCTTCACTGGCATATGTGCTTTGAATGGGATGTCCAAATCTGCAACAGAAAAAGTATCATCCTTTAACAAGAAGAACATTTCTACAAAAGTCTAAACATTTAATACGTGTGATTTTGGAAAACCAAATCTGGGTTTAAATCTCTTACCAATGTCTAGTTTAGGACTGGGTGACAATGCAGGATGCAGTGCGTCTACTTTAGAATTCTAAAGAATTACAAAACAAACATTTAAACACTCCGCACACCTAAGGGCATCAAATCTTGTCTAATTCAAGAAAGGTATACAAAGCCCATGAACAGATATACAAGAGCGGCTGAGTCTATAAACAGGCACATAATCAGAAAGTGGAAGAGCTCTGTTTTACTAACGAAGCTGCAGCATTGCGGGGGGAAAAAAGTGGTTTAATTACTGGCTCATCAGCCTTTTCCTGTGTGACGACATAACAGCAGCTGCTTGCTGACTGTTCATTACCATTTGGCCTCTTGGAAGTTGTTCTGTTAGAAGTCCTTCCTGTGTGACTGGTGAAGCCTCTCTCTCACACTGGTTTGACTCAATGTCAAAGGTCTGGAGCAGAGCAGATGGGGTTAACGTGTCATCAGTAACATGTGAGGGTGGATCTGAAAATAACAGATAGGTATAGGTTGACATAAATGAAAATGCAAAAAAAACTGCAAAATATTCAAAATTAAACAAATACACATTCAACTCACCCAAGTCATCAAACATCTTATCAATGTCTCCCAATGTCAATGTTCCTGTCCATTGTTTCAATGGACTGAAAACAAAAAGGTTAAATTAATATGATAGCTGAAAGAGCAACATTTTCATACAACTGCTAAATCACTCAATACTATTCAATCGACAATGCACCAAAAAAGGCAGATGTAAGAGAAAGACACACGACATATACGAACATATACATTATTTGCGATAAATGGTGATTTGTGAGATTACACCCAGGAAAAGTAATGAATGTTTAAATACACTTGATATATAAATATATATATATATGAAACTATAATCTCCTATTTATAATTATTCCATTAAAGATGCATAGCATAAAATACAACCAATGCATAAAGTCTCAGCTCTCTTGTTTCAGGCTTATAAAAAAATAAAAAAGCTCACTCACAGAATAATATAAACACAGAGCTCATAAATACTTTTCAAACGTACCTTTCCTTGTTTGTGAGATAGCAGAGTTTCCTCTTTGGTCTCCTCTGTGAACAGAAAAGATATAGAGAAGGTTACCAGCAACTATTGTAATAAATTTACTTTGTAAATTATAAGGAAAAAGATTATGTTACCAGCTAACAACATACCTTAATATCACCTAATATCAACAGCCATTGTGCTTATAACTACGCTACATAGAGCGGACACAATATTAGAAAACACACTCATTAACCATTAACTATAAGATTCATGAAGTTCAGAATTACGTTAACTAACGTAACTTAACTTATAAGTCATGGCTGTTGCATTGACTTTAACCAACATTAGCTAACGGTTACCATAACGTTGTTTGTACCGAGTGTAACGTTACAGTTCCTCCCTTAGTTGTCATTAAAGTTACATGTTTGTTCAGCCTTCCTTCCTCAACAGAATATAGAAACACAAAAAGACCTGGACTTACCAAGGTAGGGTACTTTGTCTCCATTTAGGTTAAGTAACGCTAGCTAAGTCTATCTTTTAATGACTGTTTGCGACAGCAAAACCTAAGTTATGCTAACGGTTAGCTTAGCTTAGCTTAGCTAGCTATCATTATGTTTTCAATAACTGCTTCAACTCGATTAGCGTTAAGGTTAGGTCCCTGGGTGTTTGTTTGAATCCACTCTCTAAAAATCAAGCTACGACTGAAAAGATATCATCATGCAAACGCTGGAGAGCCCGCTATGTCGCCCATTTGATAACCAACGTTAGTGTTAGCAAAACAATGGCGCTGTTGACAATTTGTAATTATCCCGCGCACTCTGAAAATGTGTGAATAATGCCCTGAGTCAGGCCTCTCAGGCAGCACTTTGCGATATATGTCACTGTTAAATGCCAATCTGCTGTCTGTGCTTTTGAGCTATAAAAGGAACTTGAGTATCGTAAAAGTATAAAATAAGGTGAACTATCTGTCAGTGAATAGAGTTTGTTGCTGGTGGATTATACTTGCTGCCTTAAAACCATGCCCAGGGATGAAAACAAACGTATCACAGGATGTCCTTCTTCTTCCACATTATATTTTCCGGCAGACTGAACCTACAGCTGGTGCTTTACGTTGCTGCCCCCTACAGGTTGGTCATTGTTAAATCTAGTCAAAGATTGATTTCATGTCATGTCAACGGCTAATCCCTTGAGGAGATGTCCAACAATGATATGACAAAATGTATGACTCTGTAATTTATATTTTGAAAAATGATTTAACCCTAAAGATAATAGAGGATAACAGTAACTTCTAATTATATTTGATAATGTCTGTGATGTTCAGCTATTGTGATATTCTTATTCATCTTCCACATTATGATAAAAGAGCTCACACTGCTGAATTGAAGAAGTAGCATGGTACTTGTCTTATTGATGCTAACAATGATGATGATAAGTAAAAACATATATGTCGGGTGCAAGAGTGCGCTCTGTTTACTGTAACAGTTGTTATACTGCAGTTTCAGACAGTAAAAGTGTTCCGAACAAAACCAGATGTGTCTTGGTCGTCCTTAGAAGCTCCACTTCACAACAACACCACCATGCAGCCTATAATAGTTATAATAATAATAATAATATATATATATATATATATATATATATATATATTTATATATAATAATAATAGTTTCCTTATCCAAGCCTAATGAGTTAGCAATCAATATGTTAGAAAAGAGCCATAAAAGGTTCAAAGATCAGTCAGCCAAAGTCGAAAAGTGTATTTTATATTATACTGTATGCAATCAGAATTTTACATTTATCAACATTTTTTAAATACAACATTTGTTCTCATAATTATCAACAATGCAATTCCAAACTTTGGCACAACTCTTATCTACCTGACATAAACTGACAATGTTTAGCGAAATATCTTTTTCTGTTTTTCAGCAATCTCCGTTGGTTCCATGGCTCCGGGTCTGACATCTATATAGAGCGGCTGTCTGATGTGTCTCCAAACCACCAAAACAATCCGAATGACAAACAGCACAGATGCTACAGCCAGCAGCACAACTAAGAGAAGACAATCCAGTTAGTACAACTTTTCAACAGATGTTTGTCACATACTATTAAGATGGAGTTCTCTCCAGTGTCTTACCAATGAAGATGCCATTACGGCTGGGCGATTTAGCATCATAGTTCTTGTCCAGGTTTCCGCACAGCGCCCAGATCACAACCGGGTAGATGATGAGGATGTACCGCACGTGTTTGTCAAGGACGAAGTTTTCCAAAACAAACCTGTGAAACACGCAGCACAAACACGCTTGCTTCAGAATCTCACTGATGATTTTGCACAGTGCTTCTCTCAGAAGTATTTTCCAAGCAAAGAGCAATCACCACACGAGCAGCACGACAGCCAAAACAGAGTACGAGATGGTTGCAGCATCCGCTGGGGACATCTTTACATCATAAGTCAGTACAATGCTCAGGTTGATTAGTGTAGCAATGGTTGTCCATGTTGTGTATATCATCACACCATTCTGCACCTGCAAATGAAGTATTATAGAGTTTTTTTTAGTTACGCTTAACTGTGCTCACACATCATACACTTAAACCACAATATTTTAACTACATGAGATCCAAATGCTGCATATTTGTCATACTAACCAGCACACGGAGGAGCCACAGGTCTGCCTTGTGGTATTTCTTCAGCCAGGCTCCATAAAGATGAAGTCCATGGCAGGTGAAGCATATCATGGAGTAGTTTGTGCAGATGACCAGGAAGAGAAAAACCAGTGCAGCGATCATCACTCTTAAGTGAGACAGCAGAAAAACACATTTAATTATGAAATGAAATAACACAGTTTAAATTAGGTTGCTAAATTTACAAACAATAATCAAAGGAGCCTTTAGAGACTCTTACCCTTGGTCCCAAACAATCAGCCAGGCAATATTGAAACACAGATTGAGGCACCAGCTAACGAAGAATCCATAAGGCAACACTGCGGGGCTGCAGTAAACATAGCCATAACCATTCCTACAAGGAAAAACAACCACAGTTGATGTTTCAGTCTGTAAGTTGGCGAAAATGTCCACAGAACAGTGGTTGTCAATTTTGGCAACTATTCTTTCCTGATACTTCCAAAATGTGTCACATATCTGGTATCCTAATAAACAAAGAGATATACAAAGATATGTGAAGATTTGCACATCCTAAACAAGAGAATTTAAAAAGTTGGCCCGAACTTTCTGCAAAGTCCTGCGACGATGTAGATAATCATGGCTGTCAGCCAGATGTAGATAACACTCCAGATGTTAAAAGTCCAACCTGAAGGTGTGATCTGGGTGTTAAACACTGCAGACACATTGGCTGTGGTGGTATCATAAGGACCTTTAGGGAGGAAAAGCAAATAACGAGTGAGAAAGGAGAGGAGTGTAACATGTTAAACTGATATTTGTGATTTCTCTAAAACCTTTACAAGGACCATTCACAATCTGAAAGTTAAATTAAAACAATGTTAATAAAGCTTTGACTTACCAATTCCAACTACAGACAGCCCATTGAACACCAAACTTATTGCATAGCCGACAACAGACACCACTATTGCGGCAAGACGTCCAGGGTTATGTTTTCCCATTGTGGTCTACTGTGATAACTGAAAATGCTTCAAAAATAGAAACAAATGAAGAATGAAAGAATACCAATGGATGTATAGAGAGGGTTTCATTTACAGATTAAATCGTTGGTACATTTAGTACATTGAATTAGGATTCTATTTACTCTAGGAAATAGTGTTTGCTCAAAGAAATCTATCTTTGAAGAAGATCTGTAATCCCTTCTGAGTTCATCCATGATAACCTGCATTTGAACCTGACCTCTGATCTTGACAAGTGATACAAATCACTCACCTTATTCAGAGGTCATTCAAACAATTACATCAAGTTTTATCGTTTTCATAAATCACCAGTTTTTGAAGGTTGCCACCATAAAAAAAACGAGTCTGTCAAGAAAACAGTTTTTGAAAAAAATCAAATTTCAAGGAGTGTAATAGACTGAAAATCAAGTAATAAAACGTTGGCAGCAAAACAAAAAGAGTGCCCACGTGATAAAGACTCAATAACGTCAAACAAAACATACCTTTCTTTGGCCCTCGCGTCAAGAACCAGAGTAAGTGTGCAGAGTGTGAAGAGAGTAACAGGGACTGCCTCTTTTATAGAATAGCTTGTTGTGTAAGTAAGAGGTTTACAACCATCACGTGCATCTCTTATCTTATATACATTTCTGTCACAGGGATATGAAAGTCTAAAGATCAAGCTTTGTTTTTAGATGAGATTGAATATATCTGGCAGAGCTTGAAATTAGACAAAGAGCAGTAGTAGAATAAGCATCATAAACTTAACGAGTCAGTATATACTGATAACGACCCCTGGAATCCAGCCAGAAGGCTAATTGTTGGGTGTTCTTGTTCTGTTGTTTTGTCACAGAAAACCAGCAGTTTGCACACTTTATATGCAGTGGCATTTGAGCTTGGCTTTGTGTTTTTAGCATTTATATTTTTGTTCTTTTCAATCATATTTCCATATTAATAAACTTACTTCCTATATGTTCTGATTCACATGTTTTCAGTCTGATCTACTTCAACAGAAAACCATTCAGTATATAGCTACACTTATATGAGAACATGCTCGTGTTTTAGAGGAGTTCAATGAAGACTTTGATTATTTAGTCTGGCAAGTAAAATTGAATGAGGAGACAAATGTAATGATTCAAATGAGCAAAACAGAGAGGAAGAAGTAGGATGTGTAGAACGTAAAAACTTTACTTCTTAGCCAGGCATGTACAGTACAATTACAGAAAGATAAAACAGTTACACATGCAGCGGTTATAAACTATCATGAATGATCCTTTCTTACTTAGGTTTTCTTCATGTTGGCCTTGGCCTTGTTCATCTTAAGTGACCGACCAGGGACATCATTGCACAATCGATTTAAACAGTTGCAGTATTTGTTATCTATTATATTACGCAAATTATTCCACAAAAGCATAAAATTTAAGGAAAGTAACATTTATTTTTAAAAGTATACAAAATAAAAGTCTAAGCGCATTTACAAAAACTCATTTGTATGAAAAATACAGCTGAAATGAATTTAGCATGTCATTACAACTCAGAGTGCAGTTTGAGAAAACAATGTATTTAAAGCTGAGCACAACTTAAATTGGACCTCAGCATCATTAAATTTTCTTATTTTAGTAAAGCTTATTTTAAGAAGCTACCACACGTGGAAGCAGTGTCTCACAGGCAAAACACTCATACATTTCATAATATAAAAATAATTTAGAAATATGTACATCTCATTCAGAACCACTACTGCGTGGATACAGAAAGGTTTATCATAAAAGTGTCCATTACTCATTCTTACATAAATATCTTGTTCTGCCTCTCAGCGATCTCCATCGGAGACATGCTGTCTGTGCTGAGATCTTTGTAAAATGGCTTTTTGATGTGCCTCCAGGTGACCAACACTGCCCGTGCAGCACACATGGTACAGGCTGCGGCCAAGAGTACAGCTGTAGTGGAAAGAAAATATCAGAGGGAAGCATTAGTGTGCATACTGTCTGTCCCCTGCAGTCGGGTTTGATTCCTTTATGTATGTTAAAAAAAAAAATCAATCACAGGTTATGCAATGTTGAATGTTTAAATACATAAAACATACAGGGGATGTAATTGAGATTGATTAAGATGTTTGTAAAAGTTACTCACTAGTGAAGATGTTATTGCGACTAGGATTTGCAGCATCGTTGTTTTTCGTGAACACCCCCGTCACCGCCCAGATCACAAAGGGGTAAAAGGTCACAATGTACCGCACGTGTTGGTCGAGGACAAAGTTTTCTAGGTAAAACCTGCGAGAAATACAACACATTTGCTCCAGACATGCAGTTGTTTTTTTTATGAACTTGTGAAAAATAATGCTAAGTTTTCTACTTTGCACGTACCACACAACCAGCACTACAGTCAAAACCGAGAGTGAGACGGTGGCGGCGTCCGTCGGGGACATGTTTGCATCATAAGTCAGCACGATGGCCAGGTTGACGAGGGTTGCAATGGTTGTCCATGTCGCATATATGGCAATACCATTCTGAACCTGTAGTAGAGACAACAGAAAAAGACTTAGCTGCAGAGACACGTGCAGAGTTGACACAGAAGATGCTGCCGCAGGTAAACAGGTAAACATAAGCTTGCAATTGAGCCGCCATGCAGTACTGACCAACACACGCTGAAGCCACAGGTCTACTTTGTGGTACTTGCTGAGCCAGGCTCCATAGTTGTGGAGACCATAGCAGGAGAAGAATATCATGGTGTAGTTAGTCAAGGAAATCATGATGAGGAAAGCCAGCGCAGCAGCCATCGACCTTTAGGGATTAAAAAAAATACAATCGATTTATTTTATCGCAGTGATTATGTCTGCACACATCACAAATTTGTCTCTTAGGGCCTCATAATCTTTAGGGCATAAAAAATAAAAAACTGGGATGTTTATGTTTTGTTTTATTTAAGAAGGGACAATGGGGAGTTCCTCGTGTTAACGTGCCAGATTTAGCCACACAGGCTAATGCTTGATGGCAGCTTGATGACAAACATACAAAGGCATGCATGAGCACAGACCCAAGCCCATTAGCACAGACAAAAGCTCATAAGCACATCGGCACTTTAAAACTGATATTTCCACTTCTCCAGATTATGACACCATAAGGCTCGAACATGCCTTTGAGCCTGAACAGCAATTAACATTTTTCAGTAAAGAATGTGCTGCAAATTATTTTTATTTCTCACGACTATGAATTGAATTAAATAAAGAAAAGGTCCCATCTTACTTTCTGTCCCACAGGAACAACCATGCAGTATTGAGGGCAAGATTCAAGCACCAGACCACAAAAAATCCATGTGGCAAGACAGCCGGGCTGCAGTAGACGTAACCGTATGCATTCCTAAAGAAAGACAAAGTACAGAGTGGTAAATGTTTACGTCACACCACATAGGACACAAAGATAACCGGGGGGAAGAAATACATTTAGGCTAATTCTTACTTTCTAAAGATGCCGGAGAGGACGTACACCAACACTAAAGCCAGAAAGATGTAAATGATGGACCAGATGGCAAAGGTCCATCCTGCTGGTGTGATCTCGGTTACAAACTCATTTGAAATGTTAGCGGTGCTCGACAAAAATGGATCTGTGGGACACAAATTAAAAAAGATACATTATATAATAGATACAAGGCTATTATAAAAGTTATTTTGATACGATTGAAATGTCAAAGGATGCATCATTACTTCTTCAGTTTTATATTAAATGACTAAATATCAAATCATAAAACAATGCATATAAGTAGAGCATTAAAACTTACATGTTCCTGCCGCTGCCAGAGCACTAAACACCATAGTGATGATGAAGAAGATCAATGCCAGCACTATGGCAATCAGCCGGCTAATGTTGTGTTTTGACATCGTGGGAAAGTGATCTAAAAACACCAGTATCATGAATTAAAACACAGCATAAAGTAAAAGACAACAAGTTTGTTCAGCAGCTTTGAACAATGTGTTGATAATTCATTCTTAAAAGCAGCTGAATGAAGAAGCTCTTGACTTACCGTCTAATGTGCTTTCTCGGGGGGAACAAGGTGGAACACAAAGACTGCTGTCAAGGAGTGGCTTTTGTTAGCGTGAAAGGGAGCAGGTTGTACAACAGCCAGGGTTTTATAATCTGTGTGCACGTGTACCTGTTTGACACTTATGTAGTCAGTGTTAGCAGACTTTCTCCTTGTGTCCTTTGTTTTCAAATGATGAATCAAAGAGATGATAAAAAAAAATCGGGCCTATGATATGATTCTCTGTTTCATAACTGAACTTTGTGCCAAGAGTCATGTTTGGTAACAGGTCTATTTCACCCAGGTGCTCTTTTATGAAGAGGCTGTATCATGGAAGGGTGGCATTTGACCCAAGTGACCTCTGATAATAAAATACTTTTTGTATATTTTCAATAGGGGACAGTATTAATTATCTTCAAGTATGTATTTAAGTGACATTATGAAGTACTTGTACTTTACCTGAGTATTTCTCAGAGGGAAATAATGTATTTCTACTTGTTTACAAACAAAAACCCACAACGACCTCATTCAGTAGAATATTCTACATTGTTATTGTTAAACTAAACCAACAGTAAATATAAAAGGTAAAATAACCTATACTCTTTACTCAGCCACAACATTTAAATTCATCTTAAAGTACCAGATATAATAATCAAAGAATATAAGATCTATGATTTAACTCTCTCTCCAAGGGGTCATCGTTCACCTGTTTAGTAACAGCGATTTATCGCCTCGTCAAAGCAGCAGGTGGGACCAGAGTTTATTCTTTTATGATTATGAATGAGTGAGTTATGAAATGATGACTTGATTTTGCTATTAGAAAAGTTATCTAACTAAATTACATCTTACCTGAATTACTTAAATTGACTTCACTAATTTAATTTTGTCTATTAGTATTTGCACATTTAGATTTGAAAATATATAGTTTCTCTCTCATCCATATATTTCAACAACCTGTCAAGCTGAAGAACCAGTTTCCTGTGTTGACCCTTCAAAGCAAACAAGAGAGCACTACTGACTTTTCCCATTTTTATTCTTGATAATGTACACAACATGTCGGTTATTGTCACGAGTTTTTCACTGTTTGATAACATTTTAACATTGGAAACGTTTGGTGTTGACTAACTAGGCTCCCCACAGCAGAGCAGACTGTCTGCAGCAGAATGATGCATATCAATGCAAAAACAAACACAACGTCAAACATGAAACATTTCACTTCAAACTACTTTGGGAACCCACAACAGTCTATACACACATGAACGCATGGCCAAAACATGTTTTGGTAATTATTTACAGTCTTTTCAGTTCCATCAGTGCCCTAGAACCTGGACCCCGGCAGCGTCCTTGGAGCCTCTTCCCGCCGTGCCTGCAGACAGTACCGGCGTGTGTGAGCGTGGTCCCCGGTGGCTTCACAGATGGGGCAAGTGTAGTTCCAGAGGATGGGGCAGATGACTTTCCCGTCGTCCGATTTCAGCCTGTGAGACCGGTACACCCTCGCAGACTCCCCGTTCTGCTTGCAGAAGCGACAGTAGCCCGAGGAAGTCCCGTTGCAGCTGGTGTCCGAGAGACCGGAGAGGCTGCTGACCGAACTAGTCTCTATTGAGTTTCTGCAGCTCTCCTGCCGAGAGGTTTGGATGTGGCTCCAAGCTGCCGGTTCTTCAGCTTCTTTCTTTGGGTCCTCGGGGTCTCCGTGGCCCCCCTTGCGATTGTCGCACAGCCTCTCCAGCAGTCTGCCCAGGTTCATGTAGTCATGCCACATGTCGAAGCAGTCCCCAGCAGAGAGGAGCGAGCTCTGGACCACGACCTGTCTTTGCATTGTTGTCATTTTTTGAAGAAAAAAAAAATATTTGCAGTTGTTTGTGCGTCTGTTGGAGAGTCTCCTATTTGTAGACATGAGGGGCTTTAAAGTGCAACAATGTTTGGATTCAATATTCTGTAGACAGATTGATGACAGGTGTCTGGAGGAGAAGAAGAAAAACAACTGTTGTGCAGTTTCGAGGGTTTTCTTTCATCTCAGAAACCTGTACACTTAGGTTGTATGCTTGTCATGACGCTTTATTACGACCCAGATAGAAAGTTATCAGAAAAAATAACCTAAGCAGATTTAATTGTTTTATTTAAACAGACAGACAAACACTAACACGAACACACAGAGGAGTGACAACAACAAAATATTGCATTGCATTGAGATTTCAGTATGAATGTATACATATGGTTCATATCAGGTCTCAAGTCTCTTAAATTATGACATAGGTGACATCGTGGTTTTATGATGGGGGGGGGGGGGGGGGGGGGGGGGGGGGGG